TGTAGCGGATTCTACAATGGAGGCTAAGTATATTGCATTGTCAGATATGGCCAAGGAGGCAGTCTGGATTAAGAAGTTCATTACTGAACTTGGTGTGGTTCCTACGATTGTTGATCCTATAGACATCTATTGTGACAACAATGGAGTAATTGCTCAAGCCAGGGAACCACGGTCTCATTAGAAATCCAGACACATACTCAGACGATTCCATCTCATCAGAGAGATAGTTAAGAGGAAAGATGTGCAGATCAGTAAAGTGCATACTGACGACAATCTCGCAGATCCATTGACAAAGCCTCTGTCATAGCAGAAGCATGACAGGCACTTAAGATCATTTGGTATTAAATACATGAATGATTGGCTATAGTGCAAGTGGGAGATTGTTAGAGTAGATGCCCTAGAGCCAATCAATTATTGTAAAATTGACTCTTTGTAATAATGTTCATTAACCAATAAAAGCCATTTTATTCTATATCGCGTAAATCATTATTATTGCAATATGTATTGATATATGTCCTTAGAATGGTAGAACCGTGACGAGGGTATCAAGTGTTTNAATGCAATTCTATTCAGAGCTGTCAATACGGTGGTGATTGGCTGTATCAAGGAGTGTATCAAGACTATGGGGGATTGACAGAAGATTCATCACTCCCGGGTACGGGAGAAGTTATCTCACGGCGCAATTCAGTATATGACAATGACACTAAAACTGTGGCCACAGTGGGATTGAGTTGTTGCTCTATCCGGATTATAATACAAGTCATTGGTCCAGAAACTGAATACATAATATCGAGAGTAACCGAAGGTTGACATTATTTCTATGCCTTCATCTCGTCGAGATAACGTATGATGAAAGGGTCGAATTGTACGGTAACCATATCATTGACAGGTAGCTACTTTGTTGAATCCGAATAAATCGGATGGCCATGATGCCTTGCTAGGGGCCAATCTTGGTCTATGTATTAGTGAGACGATTAATTGGTACTAATCGTGATACTATACATTGTCGGTATGATGAGGAGCCTATGGGTCACACACATAGAAGATAATTTAAGATCCAAGAAGAAGGAAGGGTACTTTCTTCTTTTTAAGGCAAAAGGGTATTTTGGTAATTTCACAGTGCAATTAAATTTGCTGACGGTCGTAGCCTTTATTTAATTAGAAAAATTAAATAAGTGAAATTACGTTTAAATATGTGTTTACATATAATTAATTAAATCATCATTATTGTTAAATGTTAATATATAGATTAAATATATATTAATTGAGTTTAATTGAGATAATGATGAAATAAATAAAATATCTAATTAGGGAGTGTTTGATAACATGGGGTGTTTGGGTTGGAGCCCAAGCCTATTCCATATGGGAATAGGGCATTAAAGTTTTACTATAAAAGAAAAGGTATATTTGTAAAATGTGATAATTAATTCATTAGCTCATTTTTCATTGTAAAACCAAATACACAACAGCCCCATTTCTCTCCCACGGCAGAAACCCATTTTGCCTAAAATCAATTTATTTTGATTTCATTCTTCTTAATCTTAAAGCCAAAGAGGATCTAGCAAATCCCTCTTTGGTTCTTTGCAATTGTCTTCGTGTAGACTTCATAAGTTCGATCCTATGCTTTGATCGGTAGCAAATACGTACAAAGACTATTTTGGAGGAGCCTCCAAACATGCGTACGTTATTCTAAAACTCTTGATTAACCTTTTGTGCAAATTTTATTTTAATATAAATTTTAAAATTATACCTTTGATCTTGGCTCATGTAAACGATCCTTGTATTATATTTGTTTTGTTTTCGCTGCGTATATGGATCATTTATTAACAGTGGTATCATAGCCTAGGGTACCAAATTTTACAATTTTTATTTGGATGGTTGATAACATGTATTTGTTGATATAATGTTGCCTTATAGAATCTGCCTTGAACTCATGTTTTAATATATTTATGAATCGATTAATTTAATTTGTTGATGATCTGCAAGTTTGGTTTAATGGGTGATGGATTTTTGGTTGAAATCAGTGTGTTTGATTGATTGAAAATCCGTTTGAGTGTACATGGTTACTTTATGAACAGATCTGTGTACGCTCGCCGCAGTGATAAAACCCATCGCCGCAATGAGCGTTGTTCACGCTGGCGCTGGTGACGAAACTAGCGTTCACCATGGCGATATAAAGCATCACCATGGCGATCGTCCTCTGGACAAGCGCTGTAAGAAAACAGCGCTTGCCGCGACGATATAACCCAATTCCGCGGCGATCGTCCTTAGGACGAATGTTGTACCAAATCGTCGCGGCAAACGTACGTTAAGCGTGAACATCAACATAACCAATGCACTAATTTCAAAACTTTTGTACCAAACACAGATCTATAAATTATCAGGGGGTAAATTGTAATTAACCCACTAATTTCAAAAATTGATTGTTTTTGAAATGTATGATTTGTACTTGTTTGTATATTGCATGGTGCCCAGTACATGAGCCTTAGACCTAAGGGTGAATGTTTTAAAATAATTTTGGGTATGTATGGTTGTATATATTAAATAGGGCCTGCGTGTCCTACCTTTCTCCTTTTCTCGATGTACATTCTCTTCTCATCTAATTCCCTTCGAATGTAAATCGAGGTTTCTAAATTTATTGATGTAAAGAATTTTGTATTATTATTCTTTTTGTAAATTTAAAAGTTTTGGCAATGTACCTGAAGACGGAGCAAAGAACAAGGCAACCATACTTGAAGACTCGAGATGTTTATTATAGGACCCCTAGGTGACCCACCGATTCCTCTAGGCTCAAGGAAATCGGTTTTAGTTGGGCCATGTACCGGCACATTTAATTTTTGCTTAGAATGCATGCTAAGGTTGATTGTTCAATAACATGCCAAACAATGTCATTCTAACAAAGATAATAATCTGATGAGACATTAAATAACAAACCCCTCAACTGAAGTATATTAAGTCAAGTGAGCCTTCCATCACCATGGTTTTAATCAAACCACTGTTTGTCGAAACCTTTTTTGCCAAAGCGAAAGGTACACTTCTACCAGTAGGAGGTTAAAATGCATTGGAGTTTTCCTTAATGGTGATGGGTCAACTTAAAATGACAGTTTTGCTTGTTCGCCAAAGCGAAGGTTGATAAACTATTACACATAACACACAGCAGCCTTTTGGAGACTCTCCCACGCCACTTTCATCCTTTTTGATTGAAAAATCAAATACTCCTCTTCTTGATTTCTTAAGGCCAAGGAGAATCTAGCAAATCCCTCCTTGGTTCTTGTTGATTGTCTTCGTGTGGACCTCTACGGTTCGATCCTACACTTGGATCGGTAGCAAACACGTTCAGAGACAACATTGGTGGAGCCTCCAAACGTGGGTATGAATCTAAACCTTTGGATTTAGTTTTCTGCAGATTCTTATAAAATAGAAACTGTAATTTTCTATGCACTGATTTTGGGTTCTAAGGAATGATCCATGGTTGTAATTTTTTTGTTTTCCACTGCGCAACCGGGTCATTTCCTAACAGATGGTAACCCTAGTGTCTATGGAATAAATCCTCTAACGAATGGTGGTGTATCTGATCCTTAGACTTGAGATCACTGGAGTGCTTTGTGCATCAATTGGTGTAGTTTGACACTAGCCCAACGTAGTTCTATTCAGAGTTGTCAATATGGTAGTGATTGGCTACATCGAGGAGTGTATCAAGACTATGGTGGCTCGATAGAGGATTCATCACTCTCGGGTGTAGGAGAAGTTATCTCACAACGCAATTCAGTAAATGGCAATGACACTAAAGCTGTGGTCAACAACTCAATCCAATTTATTATTCCGGTAATTGGTCTAGTAATGAATACAAACATATCGAGAGTAACTAAGGTTGACACTATTTCTATACCCCAGTCTCGATGAGATAACAGATGATGAACATATTTGATTCCACGGTAACCATATCATTGACAGGTAGCTATTTCGCTGAATTCGAATCTATCGAGTGGCCATGATACCTTGCTAGGGGCCAATCTTGGTCTATGTGTAGTGAAACGATTAATTGGTGTTAATCACGATACTACTCACTGCCGATATGATGAGAAGCCTATGGGTCACACACTTAGAAAATAATTTAAGAATCAGTTTGTGTAAGGGGTATTTTCGTCTTTTAAAATGAAAGGGTATTTTGGTAATCTCACAGTGCAATTAGATTTGCTGAGGTTGTTGCTTATATTTAATTTAATGTTAAAATTAAATTAGCAAGATTATATTTAAATATATGTACACATAAGTTTAAATGAATTATTATTGTTAATTAAATGTTAATATATTTTATAAATATATTAATTGATTTTAATTACAATAATAATTAATTAAAATAAAATACCAAAAGAGAGGGTGTTTGGATACAAGGATTGGAGCCCATGCCTATTCCTCATTGGAATACGGTTTTGACACATGCACTATATGTGTTAAAGAAAAATTATTGAATGAATTCACTTATTCATTATTGAAAGAAAAAGGCAGCCCTTTCTCTCTACACTCTTCTCATGTTTTCCCTTAGTGCTTGAATCAAAGATTTTCCTTTGATTCAAGTTGATTCTTGAAGCTAATAGAGGATCTAGTCAATCCCTCTTTGGTTCTTCGGATTATCTTCGTGTGGATTACCATTTATTCGGTTCTACGTTAAATCGACAGCAAAGTATATTTAGAGACATTTGAAGGAGCCTCCAAACATGCGTAAGATCTCTAATCCTTGAATGGATTGTTTATATTTTTTACAGAATTTTGATTTAACACATAATCTGTACCCGAATTTTGGGCTTTAAAGGAATTAATTTATCCTTTAATTTTTGTTTTTCATTATGTTGGGTAGATCCATTCCTAACAGTTTTGTTGGATGGAAACTAAAGAGATTGTTAAAGAAGTTTGAAGATGTGAAACAATACATGTACAATCGTTACATCTTTAAAGAACTAAAAAAAAACATATGCAGTTTACGAGGTACGTAATATTACCATCCTGCTCATGAGGGGGTCCTGCCACAAGCTCATGATCATCCTTTTCTTCATGTAACTCAATTTTTGAGGGAGGATATTGAATATAGCTTACTGCTGCTGCTGCTACTGCATTGTAATAAGTGTGATGAGAAAACTGTCCAACTCAGCCAAGTCAGAATACTTATATGGCACGTCGCTTATTGTACAGCTGAGCCAATGCTTATATGGCATGTAGTTTGTAAGTAGTATAAAAAGGACACGAAGGCTGCTATTTTCAGTTAAGAAAAATTAGTCAAATATTCCACAATTTTCAGTTGAATAAAACTGCTTTAAACTCAACAACTTCTAAATTGTTGGATCACATTAAATTTAAATATCCAAGAATTTTAGGTGAGCTTTGATAATTTTAGAAATAAATATAGAATCACTCTCATGAATCTCAAATCTATTCTTTCATCCAAATTTTTTTTCTCGATTCATTTTTAGAAATAGGTATAAAGCCCCTTGTCGTCTCCTAAAATTAGTAGTCTATGTTATATTTACTCTTCCGGAAGAATAATAATACCCTCAATTAAACCTTTTAATTCTTAATAATACCTTTTATATAAATTTCAAAATTTAATTAGTTCTAAAGTATGATTACAAAAATTCTAAAATATATATCCTTTTGTAATCTCAAAGTCATCTCCTATTTTTGTAGGTACTTCTTATGCAGTTATACTATAATAATAATAAAAAAAATAATTTTTTTAATTAAAAACACTGTTGGAAAAGAAGTTTTTTCAAAACAATGCACCTTAAAAATATATTAAAATAAAATAATAGGCTTTTAAGAACAGAATCATATTAAAACTATAATGATCAAGTAACCATGAGGACTAGTGTATGCTTACCAGACAAATCAGTTTTATTGATCAGATCCTTTAATTTTGTGTCGTCCTCTACTGCTAATTTTTCTTTAGTTACTCCAAGAAGGAATTCCATCATCTTTTCATGGCCATGCTTAGCTGCTATATGAATTGGTAACATGTTCTCAGCTCCACGGATCCGTAGTAACTCCTCATTCTTCGTAAACATCACTTTGGCAAGTTCCACCGAACCGGATGCAGCAACAAGACAAAAAGCAGTACTGTCATCACCATTTTTAATAGTCAAATCTTCTTTTTTCATATGATATACCAGTTTTCTAACAAACATAGAGGACTCTGCCGCAACTGCAATGTGGAGAGCGGTGTCTCCTTTGTCTGATATCTTAGCCTTTAAATATTTTGAATTTTTTGATGGATCTCCCTTAAAAATATCTTTGTAAGCTGTGTTCCAGTCGTTCTTCAATGCTGCTTCATACAATTTTTTAAAGTCTTCATTTATGCTGTGATCATCTGTCAAGGTGAAACAAGAACAAGTTTTATATGACTAAGATATTCTAATTGATTTTGAAGTAAATTGAAAATGAATATTAAACATAGGAACTATCTACAAAAAAATATTCAGTTAACCTAAGGGTGACATTTGAAACTTTCATTTTTTATTTTGTAACTTATTTTAATACCAAATATAATAACCTTATTCTAATCAAACTTTACAAGATTTAGTCAACTTTGTATCTCATCTCATGTAGCTATTTATGCGTCAATACCACATAAGTCACTCACTTATCTCATTATCCTATAATCAATATGGTATTGACACATAAGCATTCACATCTGTTGGGATACAAAGTTGGGATCATAGCATTATTCAAAAAACAACTCTTATCCTCCTGATATTAAGACAAATCACATGAGTGATTTGTGATTTCTGTGACAATTTAAGCAAAAATTTAAAAAAAAAAAATTATAGAAATTTATAAATAACCTTACCCATATAATATGTATTATTTGGATAGAAGTACATATTAATTGTGGGGGCCACTGTGGTCTCAAATTAAATTAATTTTAACTTTATACCTTTTAATTAAATTATTCTACTTTAACCCTTTTAAGTTTGAGTAATGCCATACTCACACCCAAGGTTTGGCAAAATCCTAAGTTAGTACCTTTGGTTGCATTTATTCCAGATTCCTACCCTTAAAGTAATATTGTAAGCAATTTTTAAGCTGCAGAGTGTGCTATTACCATAATGCCCTTAACAAATAAATTAATAAATTTCCTTTTAACCCTAAATTAGTATAACTACAATTAACCATTTTATTTTCAAATTACTTCAATAACACCCTTGGCGACTATGCACCCTCTCAGTTTTTGCTTGATCTAGCTGTTTTTGACGGTGTTGAACCCCCTGGTCACCTCCAATCCAAAATCCTTTTGGTTCTCGACTCATTGGCTCCTCCGGTCATCGACACCGTTAGGTTTAGGGTTTCACTATTCTTCATCGGATTCTGGTCGATTTCGGCAGCCAAGATCCAATTAGACACCACCACTACAACCAACGTCTCCAGCTGTACAAAACCCTTGTGTCCCCACCAACCATTTAGTTGTCGCTCGCCAATCGAGAGGTTCATGTTCATTACGTTTTTTGATGAAGTGATGGACAGAAAGCGGTGAGTTGTCGTGACCAAGAAGGTTAGGGATTTTGTGAGGGGATGTGAGGAGTCAAACGGTGGTGGTGGTTGGGGTTGTCGTCACTCAAAACGGCCAAAAACTGGCAAAAAATAGTTGCATGACACGGTTGCCTTGGCTGGCGATCGACGAGTGATGAAGGGTTGTGAAGGGTATGATTTTGTAGATTGGAGGATGGAGGTTCGAATGATGGTGACAAGTGTGATTTTGGGTGGAAGAATCGCTAAAAAAGGGCGAAAAACACTAGGGACAACGTTTACTAATGTGCGTTGGAGCACTGTTAGAGGTGACGATCTGCTAATGTGCGTCGCTTCTATAAAATGATCAATGTACCCCTTTACCATTACATTAAACAATTTTCTGTCACTTTAAGGGGAGAATCTAGAATAAATGCAACCAGGGGTATCAACTTAAATTTTGCTAAACCTCGGGTGGGAATATGTCATTTACTCTTTAATTTTTAATATAATAAAACTTTTTTATATAAAATTCAATGTTAAACTAGTTCTAAAAGTTTAAATTACAAAAATTCAAAAACATTTTTGTTTTCATAATCTCAATGGTACTGATCTCCTATTTAAATGGGTTCTTCTTATGGGCTTATGCAATTACCATAAACAAATTAGTATTCTTTTTGTTTAGGGAAACTAAAACAATTTGGAAAGGATTTTAAAAATGAGAAAATGAAAGGATGCTCAAAACAATGCATCTTTAAAAATTAACGGGTTATTTGGTTCGGGGTAATGGAAGATGACGGTGATAATCTATCTAAAAAACACGATATTGCCGTGTTTGGTTTGTAGGTAATAAAAAAATCTGGTAATCTTTCAATGCAAAAAGTGTTTATTGTACGCTATTTGCATTGGAAGAATACCAGAATGTTAATTATGAGGGTGTTTTTGTTAAATTTTAAAGTTTTCTTATGGGAAGTGTTTAACTAAATTAACAAATGTAGGAGATTAAAAAATAATCTAAATATTTTTAGAAAATGTTTTAAAACAATGTACCAAATAATTATTCAGTATTTTATCTAACTCAGATGTATTTTTCAAATATTATACCAAACAGATTGTTAGAATCATATCCTATCATATTCAAATAATGTTTCAAAATAACATTTTTTCAAGTAACCTACCAAACAGGCTCATTTATTATTTATACTCATCAATCTAATTAACCAAATATATATTATAAAACATTCCCCTTAATCTTCAAGTTAATCTACCTCACTAATAATTCTACTTTTTCCATAATACAACGTTCCCTGAATCAAACGGCCCTAAAAGTGTAAACAAAATGATTGCTAAGTAATATCAAAACATACTAGCCATGTCTTGAGGGGGTGATTTCCCATTTCCTGATGCAGATGTAGTATCCTTCACTGTTTCAGTAAGGTCAACAATTTGTGATACATCTTATGCACTTATATATATTGTTAGATAAACAAATTAATTTACCAGACTGATTATTACAAAAAGCTTAATTACGTCAAAGGATGCTCAAATATCTTTATCAGTACAAAAGTAAGTCAATATGTAGTTTACTAGGTAATATGGAATCATACCAGCCTGTTCTTGAGGACGAGATGCTTCAAACTCATCTTTTTTGTCATGCTGAATTTCCGTTGACATTTTTGTGGTAAACACTGTAAGAGATTTTAGGTAATCAAATGTAGAATTTAATTTATATGACAGCACACATGAGATGAAACCCGTCTTTATAAAATTGTGTACTTTATAATCTTTCCAGTTCTAATTAAAAAATAATAATTATTCATAATATTAAGTTAATGATAAACATATATAAGGTTAAACTATCAAATTTTCGGGGATTTATCCAATGCAATTTGCATTTGAGACGGAAGCTAAACATATAAAAGTAAAGAATGTATAATATTTTGAAAGCTGATAAAAGGGGGAAAAAAATCACAAAATACAAATGTTTAAATGTACAATCCAACTGATTCCAACACATCACAAAATACAAATGTATACATGTATTTGGGCAGGATGATAATGAAGTCTTTGAGGTTTCAGTCCCATGAGATGAAGATGATGAGCCTACCATTCACCTTTTTAAAATCTTGTAAATTTTGATATTCCTGATCTTGCCATTTATTTTACAGAAAAATCTAAGCTACTATTTTGAGAGAGAGAGAGAGAGAAAAGAAGAGGGGGCTGTTAATGTAAAAAAAAAAAAAAAAGAAACACGAGTTGAAAGAGTTACCTCTTTGGGTACCTTGGATTAGAGGTGGGCAAGGGACCGGTCCCTTGCGGGCCCAGGCTTGGGCCCGTTTGGGACTGGTCCCAAATGGGACTAGTCACCCGGTCCCAGGCCCATGAGAAAAACCAAGACCCGAACCAGGCCCTAGGCTTGGTCGGGACTGGTCCCATGGGCCCAGGACCGGTCCTAGGACCAGTCCCATGGGCTTAGATAATTTCATTTTCCCCCCTCAATTTTTTTTATATTTTGGGGGCAAAACAAAATTTTATAGGGGGTTTTTAGTATTTTTTAGGGGTAAAATTTATAAAATTTATAAATTTCGTAATTTATATTTATTTTAAAATTAATAGGGGGTTTTATGTAATTTAGCAGGGGACTATATTGAAAAAATACAAAAAAATTTGGGCCCAGACCTGGGACCGGTCCCAGGCTCGGGCCTTGGAGGAGGGCCCAGTGGAGGGCCCGGGCCCTCCTCCTTAGGCCTGGTCCCGTTTTGGGACCCGGCCTCCTAGGACCGGTCCTCTCAAGGACCGATCTTAGGATCGGGTTTTGGAGCTGGGCTTTTAGGCCCGGTCCCAAATGCCCAGCTCTACCTTGGATGCAGTATGCCAAAAGGAAAATTTGGAAATAAAGTTGTCAAGTAGACTGTAGAGAGAAGGAAAATGATGGTTTGGCTCAAGTACTCTTAACCAAAAGAGGGACTGAGGGAGATGATATTTATAGCAATTCTGGTGCAATAATTTAGCCAAAGGAAGATACACGAATAATAACCTCAAGTCAATAAGTGGAGCCACTGATTAACGTACAGATTTCCTTGAATTAGTACGTAGATGATATCGATAAATGGAGAGAAATTTACTTGAAAGACCTTTTATAACAGCCACATTAATAAATGACTAGCTTCCAAGCTTTTATAGATTTAAGATTACTGTTTAATTTGTACATTCATCAGAGACTAGGGTAGTGAAGGAGTTAAGAGTGTCGCGGTTAGTGTTATGCCAAAATCTATTGTGTCAGATAAGCTTCGACCTCACACCTGACTCATTTAATTATTCGTGTCAAAGATCATTTATAGATTTCAAAATGTGATCTCTCAATTGTCAAATTATGAAGTCTGAACTCTTGACAATGAATATTTGTAAAACTATATTATAAAAATTTGATAAGTTAATGTCATTGTTATTTCAATTTAAACTATCATTAAAATTACATTAATTATTTATAAAATTGATACAAATATATTTATATGTTATGGTATTTTATATATATGAAATTAACTTTTAATTCATCAAATATCAAATAAAAATTCTTAGTTTTTACAAAAAAAAAATGCACAAATACATTAATAAATTTTATATCTGTTATTTAATTGTACAAACAACAATTAAGAAAGTTTGTTATCTTTTCATATATTATAAAATAAATATCATTTTTAAAATTGTGTGTCAAATTAAACCACTGTAAGGACTAGTTTACAACCTACTGTCATGACATTTCACTTAAATTGTAAATGCTTAGATGGAGAATCGAATCTGAGACTGTGTGTCTATCCGCACTATCTCCAATTCGTTCTAACCACTAGATTCTAAACTACTCATAGATGGGTCATATCAAAATATTTAACTAGGAAAAAAATATAAATATAAAAAATCTGTATTTTTGATGCATTATTTTAAGAGGTCGAACATAAAAGTTAAATTACAATAAAAGTTATAATATTTTATTATAAAAACTAGGTAATCTTTGAATATTTTATTAGTATAAATTTCATTGTAGTTTATTGGAGGTGTTGTTAGTTATGTTGACTAATAACTTATTCATTAGTAAATTTTATTTGTTTTATTTTACACTCATTAAAATATTATAAATTTATACCATATCATCAAACACAATTATAAATATATTATTATAAAGAGCATTATAAAAAAAATATTCATATTTTATATAAAATACCCAATATATTATTTATAAATTTATCTATAATTGTATTGTTAAGTTTAATTAACGCCTTGACTCTCCTAAAATAAGTTTTTGGTATATATATATTAATATATAGTAATTTTTTAAATATATTTTCATTTTCAATTTATCGTACATGTTTAATTTTAAATTTTTAACAAACTCAATATTTTTAATTTAAATTTTAGTTATTAATTATAATCGTGTTATAAACAGGTTTGCTAGGGTTCTCAACCAAAACCCACAATTAATAATCGTGTTGAGTTTTCCTACCTGAACTCGACCCAAATATTTTTCGTGTCAACCCAATCCATTTAAACCGTGTCGTGTTTTTGTCACCCCCTAAGTTGCATCAAGGTGTTGTTTAGTTTAAAAGCATTTATCGTCCAGATATTAAGACAAATCTTAGGAGGGCTTTGGACTTCTCAAACAGTTAATGTAAGGTAAAATCGTAAATAAATACCCTGACGCAAATATAATATGGAAAAAAAAAAAAAAAACTTATTAATGCAGATCATTGTGATCTCAAATTATTATATAATATATAATCTCATAGAAAAAAGAAAAAGTAATGCCTATTTTATAGATAATCGTGATGCACTTACAGATAACGACAAAAAAAAAAAAAAAAGGAAACTTTCATTATAAATAAAACGGTGGAAAAGAAGTTTAAACTTTAAAGTCATAATAATAAAAGATGCTCAAAACAATGATCTTTAAAGTATAAATTAAAATGATAGGCAATATAAAAGGTAATATTAAAACGTACCAGGCAAGTCTTGAGGAGGAGATGTCCCATTCTCTATTTTTTCGTTCTGATAAACTATTCTCTGATGCAATTGTTGTATCCCTCACTATTTCATGAACACACATTTAGTGATACTTAATTAACCAAAGTGATATTAAAAAATTTAATGATGTGATAAGATTGATGCTCAAACATCATTCTTTTAAGTTAAAACAATATCACATTCAATTTAGAGGGAATATCGACATTACCACCTTGTTCTTGAGAGGAGATGTCATAGTTCATCTTCTTGTCATGTAAGCATTTCTGGTGCAATGTTAATCCTCACTTAATCGGTGGACATTTTGTGGTAAGCACTGTAAGGAACTTTAGGTAATTAGATGTTTGTTGAATTTAATTATAAGACACCATATTTGGGATGAAGTCTTCATATAAACTTGTATTTTAAAATCTTTCCAATTTTAATAATAAAAACATTTACTTATAATTATTCATAATATCAAGTGAATGGAAACATATATAAGGTTAAATTATTGTATAAAAAAATTCTTGATCATTGAGAGATGAAATTTGTATTTGAGACAAAATTTAAAGGTTGTTATATTATTAAATTTCAAATTAACAACTTTTAAATGATTGGATTACATTAATCAATGTTCAAGAATTATTTTAAGGGAGGTTGATTCTTTCAGAAATAGGTATAAAATTAGTAGTCTTGACGGTGTTGATTGTCTTTTGTTGAAGTATAGATCATAGGTTTAGTTTTTCATCATGGGCAATTTTGAATTTCGTGCCTTAGTTTTGGGTATTATTCCAATTTTATACAAGGCTCACTTGCGATGATTAAGTTAGAAATGAGAGGGGGTGGTTAAGGTCCATTTGGTAAGGCTTCTTAAGTAGAGTTGTGGAAGAAGAGCTTATTAGAGTTGAACTTTTTGTGAAAAAAATATAGTTGTTTGGCCACGAAATGGAAAAGAACTTTTATATTAATATTTTAACATAAAAGAACAGAATTTTATAAAATTGATAGGGATATTTTTTAAATTTCAACATTTTAATAAGCTTCGGTTTCTCTACTAGCCAAAAAATTATTTAAAGTACAAGCACTTTGAAATTCTTTTAAAGTTGCTTGATGCATTTTAAAAGTGTTTATAAGATTTGTACTAAGCTATTTTATGGCTCATGGAAGAAGTTCAATTTTGAGCTTCTTATAAGCTCCTTTTTAGCTTATTTAGAGTATTGAAATTCAAAATATTCTTATAGAATTTTATAAATTTGATTCGATCATTCTGGACATTGAAACCCCTTTTTGGTTAATTAATATTCAAAAGCTTTTTAGTTTTTACAATTTTGTAAGCAAACTCTAATCAAATTTCACAAAAGCTAATCATATAGCTCTACTTTTAAAGTTTTTCTTTCATAAACTCTACTCAAAGAGCCATATCAAACAGAAATGAGAAAGCTAAAGGCTGATATTTAGCTTAGTGAGTAAGTTAGCTAGCTTGAGGGAGAACACACCAAGCGTTGAACAAGCTTCTGAATTGTATGAGTAAACAAGAACCCTAAGCACAAGAGAGACAGTAAGGTTGAGTGATTAAAACCTAGAAGTGAGAAGCTAAGACCACTATATCTTCGTTGTTTCTTTATTTAGTGTAATCATATCCCTAGTAGATATAACCATTTTCAGTGAACCACTAAAATC